ACATTTTTTTTTGAAAAAAATGGAAATTTTTTTACATAAAAATTTTAAAATTTACAACGCGTTCATAATTGATGAAAATATCAATGATTTTCATCCGCGCAATGGTATAAACAATTTTTTTAACTGTACTGATTTTCGTGCCGAAATAAATAAAAGTCGTAGATATAAGTATACGAACGTAGTATTTCTCTTTGTTTCGTAATTGCGCGGGTACGCTTTATCATGAATTCAAAGTAGGAAAAGAAAAAGAAGCAATTTCGTTTCTAATACACGCCTAGCGCGATATCAGTTTCAGTCTTAGATATAGGAAGCATATGCGCATCGGAAAGATTCCTTTCTTGTCAGAGATCTGCTACTACATTCGATTACGCTAAAATCTATGGAGAAAAATCGGCACGTTATATACAAGAAACAGACAAGAAACATTCATATTTTATGTCGCACGCATGCAATCGTCGATTTCCTATTAAAAATACGCAGTCTATGTAATGATTTAGTCACCGTGGCGGTATTCGCGCCTTATACGGGGCATCGCGATGAAAGACACTTAGTTTTTTGTAAACGGTTTTTCACATTAAATGAAATCCTCTCTTGAAAAAATCTTTTTGCCCGGTTGAATATCTTCAGATATAAAAAAATAAAAAATTTTTAAGTAAATTTAAAGTTTCAATAGTACTTTATAACTTTTAAATAAGTTTTTATTAAAAAATTGTAATTCATAAGAAAATTAACATTTTTAAAATAAAAATCAAAACTACTTTTTATTATTATTATATACTAAGTTTTTATATACTAAGTTTTTTAAGAGACTGCAAAATCTCTCTATCTGGAAAAATAAGCATTGCACGAAAAAAGGTTCCAAATAAACCCTCAATATTTTTGAGGGAGCAATTCTATCCCGCAAAAGTTAGCCGCCTCCCGCTCCCTCCTGAGGGTGGGAGTAACTTTGAAATCTTAAATGGGAACACTTACTTTTTAAGAGCAGATTCTACATCTAAAATCCCGTCAATTTTATCTAAATCTTTTTTTTAAGAATAAAAAATTATCGTAGACATCTACGATAATTCGAAAAACATGTTTCAAACAAAAGTTTCTTTCTTCAACGTAGCATTGTGCAATAAAACATGGGAATTTCCCTTGAAGATGAAGGTTAACCAATTTTCGCCGAATGCAGCGCCATCTATTAGGAATAGAAAAAAAAAGTTTAGACAAAATTGACGTATTTTTGAACATAGAATCCGAATCTGCAATAAAAAGTAGGGGTTCCCATTTAAGCTTTCAAAGTTACCCCCAGCTCCATCTCCAGGGGGGAGCGGGAGGCGGCTAACTTTTGTGGGATAGAATTACTCTCTCAAAAATATTGAGGGTTTATTTGGAATATTTTTTCATACAATGCTTGTTTTTTCAGATATTTTGCAGTCTTTGATTAAAAAATTCACCCAATATAAAATACTTTTCAAAATCATTCAACTAATTAAAACTTTTTTTATGTCTGTGATAGTTTAATCGACATTCAGAAAAAACCAACTTTTTTCAAATAAAAGTTTTACATCTTTAATGTGCGAAAAAGCATTTATAAAAAACTACATGTCTCTTATTTTTTTCTATATTTTAACATCTATATCTTTTTCTATATCTTAAGTTTATTAAAATCGAAAGAAAATATTTTGTTGTGTTCCCTTGTAAGCTTTTTGAAAATCAATTGGAACAATTTATTATATGTGTCGGTGATTGTTATTAATGTCCATACGCGGACATTGATAAAAATCTTTAACGTTTAATTTTATTGACATCCTCGCATGTGAACATAAAAATTTTTTACACGTCGCATAAAATGAAATATGACATAATCTATCTATCATCAGTTTATTAACAGATGAGCGGAAATTCGAAAAATACATGCTAAAATGCATATAAGATTTAAACTCAATTCTTTCTGCGCATATTACATATAATAATATTTTCTGGCACAGTCACAGATTTTCATAGCATCGTCAATCGAGCTAAACACTCTTTCTCTTCTGAAACCTGATACTTTCATACAGATATAAGTAAATATAATGTCTTCTATTTATATATATTTATACAAATACATACTCGAAAAGTAACGTTCGATCGAGATTGCGTGGAATTTTCTCGGAATGCTCCATTTAGAATCCGACCGAAACCACTTTTTTATTTCGAGCCGAAAACGAATTTTTATTAAATTTCGATTTTTATTAAATTTCAATCGAAACCAAAATCGAAATTAGATAAATCTTACAAACACTACAGTTTTGGAGTCATTGGAAAATGTCAAAATATGTGAAATTTATATATTTTTGAAAAATAAGATTTTATTAATATCTTATTCCTTAAATGATAAGGAATTTTCTATAAATTAGAAGGAATTTCAGGCACTAGATATGTAGCGACTTGGCGAATAAAAAAAGGAAAAAGGATAAAGAAGAAAAAGAGTACTGACGAAGTTTGCAGCAATCGGCACCGATCAATCGATGATAACGTATAGTTTCTCGAATGCTCGCCGTTGCAGTTTCGGTTACTTACCGAAATTTTCTCTTAATTTCGGCCGAAATCGAAATCAAAACTTTGATTTTTTACTGAAATTAATCGAAATTTCGGTTTTGGTGAAAAAATCATTTTGAACCGAAAATTCGACTCTATTCCAGAAATTATTACATGTTTCACAACATGTGTAGTTATTAGAGATGTGTTTCTTCAGAAACATAAAAACGAGTCTGATCGACACAAGCTGACGAAAATAAAAGGAGAAGGAAAGGAGTATTAAATGCAGTATGAGCTTGAAAACTTAATATTTATGCTTTGGTTTAAGTAAAAGGAAGATCTTGCGGAGTCTACATGACGTCATTATTCGTAAACAAAGCGTCAGAGAGAAAACAGAGCCATTTGTACGATATTGTTCGGAGAAATCTAGAACAAACGCGTCTATATATTATTATCATCATCATCATTATTATTACTATTATTATTATTATTATTATTATTATTATTATTATTATTATTATTATTATTAATGCATAGGACAAGAGGGAGCGGCGCACTTGCAATTCAATTGCACACATCACTCACATCGCCTGTTCCTAGTAATTTTTCACTGCTTCATCAATGAGATTATATTATTTTAAATTAGTCAATTAGTGATGTGGGCAATTGATATACATCCAGGACAAGATCATTATCTCATGAACTACAGCAGCGCTTTTACGTAAATGATATATATTATTAATGTTCGATATACGCTGGTACTAGAGTTTCACCTGGCCATGAATTTTGACAGATAATTGGAAGCTAGGAAAAACAGACAATATTTGTGGATTTTTCCTTTCAAAGTAGATTACAGATATCTTTGATTTTTGCATGTGAGGATATGCAACATATTCTCACTATTCCCCTAAAAATGATTCAAAAGAAAATATATTCAAATGTCCTGCTGTGACTTTATAATAAACTTTGGATATAAAATATAGATAGATAAAAATAAGAGAGACATATTTATAAGTGTTTAATTGCACATTAAAGGTATCTTAAAATCATTTGTTTTAAATCGATTTATTTTTCAAATAAATATTTTTTTCCTTTTCCATAAAAAAAAATATAAACGATAATGATCTAAACAGGTCGATTTTATGCCAAAAACGAAAAAAAGTTTGAAATTTTATTATTGTTCCTGGCGTCAACTCATAAATATAAGTATTTGCAAGTTTTATACTTTATACACATAAAACAATCTTGATTTCGACTAAGGATTACATGAACAAATAATATTAAGTTCTTAGAATTAGTTCTTGGATACCTAACAGAAAAGATTAGAATTTAAAGTTAAAAAATTTGTATATACATATATACATATATATATATATATATATATGTGTGCGATATTGATGTAGTTAGTAATATATAGCAATGTGTCAATGCTCGTACATAAATCGTATGTGCGTAAGTTCTACTGACAAAACAGACAATTTTAAGATCCTCTTAAAGAAATGAAATCATCTCTTTTGAAAAAAGGTCGATGTTTTTTTTTTCTGAATGAATATCGTCTAAAGAATATCATTTATAAAACAAAATGTTTTTTATACAAAAGTTGAAAAAAAAAGTTTTAGAAGTGTTTTATACGAAAACTTTAAAAATGTTTTTTAATTTTATATGAAAATTTATTTACATAAACATTTTTATTATTATCAACATATTTTATTCAAAATTTTTATTTATTTATTGAATATTTATATATATTTGATTGAAAATTGTTGTTTAAAAATTATTTATAATTATTATAAGTTATTTAATTAAAACATTTTTATATCTTTTATGGTTTAGATATTCACTCAAAAAGAAGAAAATTGATTTTTCAAAAAGGAGAGTTTCATTTCCTTAACATGCGATTGAGCAAATTATAAAAAATATACGTCTCTTATCTTTTATCTATATTTTAACATATTCAAAGCTTATTACAATCGGAGCGAGACATTTGCTTGTGTTTCTTTGTCAGACATATTTAAAAAATTCGAAATATTGGGGTATTCTTACACCTCTTCTCGAATATATTATCTTTATATTATGCAATTATCACTTTGAACATTTTTTTAAGGGAAAACTTCAGGATTTTCTATTAGCACTTACGCTGACTACTAAAGAATACGAGCCTGGAGATTTTAACTGCGTCAACGTAAACTTCTCGTTAAGATGGGAATAAAGTCCTAAAAATCGGCAGAAATAATATAATAATAAAAAAAAATGATTAAAGACAACGGGCTGATTGAACCATCTGTATAATATTACGAAATCAACACAATTAAACACGATTAAATGTGATTAAACGCAATCTTGATCATCTATATAACAAATAGTTCTTTAGGAATTCATTGGATAGAGAAAATTATCCAATGCCCAAAATAAACTTATCAAATATTAAAAATAGATAACAAGAGCTAAGAATCATTGAATAGAATGGATAGACGATTAGCGAAAAAAAGGCTTATCTTGCATACATTAATCGATATATACAGAATCATTGTGTAGCTAATTAATCAAAGATAAAAAGAGGAAATAAATCATTCCAGTCATAGATATGGAACGATACGGAGGCATGTAAAGCGTTTTTTCACCGATATGTGTGGCTAGCATTTAATTAAAGGGAAAGAACACTATTGGCGCTACGCTTACTCGTACATCGAAAAAGTATTAGAGATGCACATTTAGAAGTGCTTCTCTTCTAAACTTATGTCGTACTTGCACTAAAGTTCCAAAAAGTTCATGTCACACTACTGTTCTTTGTCTACGATAAGACTAACAACAAGAATATGCTCGCGATTTTTGGATTCATGCGTGATACAAATACTTTCTCCTTTACATCGATATGCCGAGAAGAATTAATATGACACGTCGAATCTCCAAGCTCTCGCGTGTCCCACAATCTCTCTTGTTCATCTGTGATTATCCTGACTGATCTGATCGGCACGTATTTGATCCATTAATTTGCTTTGATTGCTCACATCTGATAAAGACTCGCTATCGCTATTCGGATTTACACGAACTGGTGATGGACTATCCACCGGTCGGAAAGAGAAACTAGGTGAATCCGCACTCGATAACGATTCGGGTGTGCCCACGGAACTGATAGTTCCAGGAAGTGGGCTGGACAGAGCATCCAATCTGCGAAGATATTGAATTAAAGAAACTATATTATAGAGATACACACATATTAAATTTATTTTTTATTCCTGCAGTGAAATAAATACATGTTTGTTTCACTTTTACTTAACGCTGTGCGCACCAGTTTCAAAGAATGCAGGAATAAAAAACAGATCTATGATTGTTTCTTTTATACTTTTAAAAGAATTATTACTTTGATAATTTTATCATATTTAAGTATATACTTAAGTATAATATATATAGAGTATAATATATATAGAGAATTATTGTAAAAATATACGCAACCTGGATGCAACTGATGTTAATAAACCAGAAGTGCGTTTTACAGGTGGTTGTAAACTGTGATCCATTCCAGTCTCGTCTAATTCGAATTTTCTTTTGACTGGCCCTAAACAGCTCGGCCTTATCGCGATAGGACTCAAACTGCGTCTGTATTTCATGAAATATTAGTAGAAAATAATAAACAATGAAAAAAATAATATAAACTGCATTAATCACTTTTTTTTTTAAATATGACCATACATAAATTTTATGCAACAACTTCAGACGAGATAAATTTATGTTCTGAACAAGCTTTACCTCGTAGCAAATGCCTTTCTAGTAGGACTAGGAGACAAATTATTCTTCCAGATGTGAATTCCAGGAGAGTAACACTGTCTTTGATTAAATCCAGATCTTGTAGGGGAAGGTGAAGAACACAGCGGTGAACCGGTGATAGACAGATTTAAACTTAGAGGATCCAATGGCCTCTTCGGTCGTTCTATTTTGTTAAGCTGCGTGGGAGACTCTGAATCTTTGAATGATAATCCTTCCGCCTCCAAAGTGAGATCCTCCCATGATTGCGATATCTGCATGGCACTATGAATTTCCTTCTCGTGTGCTGCCTCCCGGCCAGCGACATCCACGCATTCTTCCTGTCTTAACTGACTCACGCGTGGTGTCAATCTAGGAACATTACCAGGGCTCTAAAAGTAAAAAAAAGTAGATCAAATTAAACAAATGAAAAATGAGCCAACACTGGTTGTTTTTGTGTAATAATTTAATAAATTATATTTATTATTATATAAAATAACGAATTTACAAGACTTTCGATCCCTAATTTGAATCCTCTTCGGTACAAAAATATAATAAACATTACAAAATTAGAGGATAAGATGCTTTTTCACTGACAGATATTGTAAAGCTATTGTTCACATATAAAAAGTCAAATGTATAATGTTTTTAATATTTGATAGTATATGTAAGCGGTGAGTGTTGAATATTAAGCTAAAATATTTAGAAATAAACTATTGTAGTTAAAATATAAGATAAACTTCGACATTAATAAAGTAATAGCAAGACAATAATGCACACAATTAAATTAAGATATATATACTGTATGATATACTGTAAGCTTATGAAAGATTTTCAGATAATTATGTTTATACATATATACGAGATAATAGATGAAATATAAAAACAATCAAAAATTTGTGTAAATAAATCGTCCACAACGGATTCAACAAGTCTGCGTGATTTTACAAATTTAAACCTCTCTTTTGTCTTTGAATAAAAATCATTTCTGAAATCAATCTTTTATTAAGAAATTTTTCTTTATCCAAAATTTGCTGGCTCTTTGTATTATGACTTATTTACAAATTGTTCTCAATTGTTTCTATATTTTATCTATTATTGTGTATACAGGGTATTCGGAAAATTATCCGCAATACTTCGGGAAGTGATTCGGGATCTAAAAAGACGAAAAAAAAGCTATATAAATATAGATTTGGAAATAGTTTCCGAGATATAATCACTTTTATGTTTAAAAAATTGTAATTTATTTTTCATAAACACAATCATAATTTATTATAGTGTTTTAACATAAATAACTACATTTCGGACTATTTTGACATTAACCAGGATGCACCATGCGGAGGCATAGTCCGCTTGGCATACCTTTAGTGAAGTAAAAAATATTTTTAAATAAAAAAAATAAAAAAGAAGGCCAAACGGACTATGCCTCCACGGTGTATTCTGGATAACGCTAAAATAGTCTGAAATGTATTTTTATTTATGTTATTTATGTTAAAACTATAAAATAAATTATGATTGTGATTATGAAAAATAAATTATAATTTTTTTAACATAAAAGTGTTTATAACTTAGAAATGACTTATTTCCGGATCTATGTTTATATAGCTTTTTTTCCTTCTTTTTGGATCTCGAATTACTTTCTGAAGTATTGCAGGCGATTTTTCAGACACCCTGTATATAAACGTAGTCAGTGTCTGACCATCTCTCACAAGCTTACAGTATGTCATACAGCACATATCTTGATTTAATTATGCGCATTATTATTTTGTCAGTAATACGTTTTGCTTTATTAATATGTAAGTCAAGATTTAAACTTATATTTTGATTACAATAATTTAATGTTTCTAATATTTTAGTTCATTATTCTATCGCTTAAGTATTCTGCCAAATATTCAAGACGTTGACATTTGATGACTTTTGATATATGAATAATAAATAGCTTAACAATACCTATCAGTGAAAAAGCCTTATATTCTAATGTTTATTATATTTCTGTAATGAAGAGGATCCAAATTAGGGATCGAAATGTCTTGTAACTTTTCATTATTTAAATATAATTTATTATACAAGAATAATCAGTGTCGGCTCACTGGCCGACATTAGCTTTTCATTTATTTAATTTGATTTATTTCATTGAAGCCTTTGTATCTTACATAGCTTTTAATAAAAAAAAACCTTAGGATAGAGATAAAACACAGTGGGAGTTTTCCAATAAGCGACACTGTGTAAGATAGTAATCATTTCATCTTTATTCAACATTGGCAAACAGCAAGGATGTAATGATTCACTGTGTTACATTATATCATCTATTATGTCTCTTGTTGGAAAGCTCCCAGTATCAGTCAAATAAGTTGATCAAAGAATTATAGCGTTATAAAATAAAATATTACATTTTTTCTAACCTATTATAAATTTAATTTTTTGTTTATTTAAAATAGAAAATAATTACATTTCGAATTTTACTACTAGAATAACAGAGAAACTTAGATAATATTTAACCAATATTGAGCTGAGTAATAAATAATACAAAGTAAGAGAGAAATAGGTAACATGATCTTACACTGGTACTAAAACGTCGTAGACGAGTTGAATTTGCAAATATATTATAGGTTGACACAGCGTCCCTGCAAGTGATAAAATAAGAAATGTTTAAAGACAATTAAGCACAGTTGCAAATATTAGAAAACATTTTTAATAAACTTATCAATAAATGTTCTCTCAATGACTTTAAAAGAATTCAGATCTTCATTACAACAAATACATTTGCATGAACCATACATTTGCAATGTAAGATAAAAATTAAAGTTAACAATAAGTTAACAATAAGTTAAACTAGACCATTACGAACAATATAAATAAGTAAAGAAGCGCCAAATAAAGATCAAGGTTGGAAATCTTGGTATTTAATAATACTTCTATATAAATTGAATTAAAAAAAATATATCTTTAATTACATAAATGAGCCGATTACTATTAGATTTGAAACGTTATCATAAACTGAAGCTAAAATAATATCACAAATTAAATTCGTTAATTTAATAATAATGTTAATAATCTTAAGAATTGAGAACTGTAAAGAATTTATTGCGAAAAATATTATTTCAGTCAGAGGTTTCGAATTTCCTGACTGTGGGCATTTTCCAGTGTAACATAGTGAATCATTACATCCTTGTTGTTTGCCAACATTGGATAAAAATGAAATAATTCATTATGTTATACACTGTGCCCTTGTTGAAAAACGCCTTATCTGAGGCGGATACCTTTCCCAATTCAACCAATGTTGAAATATTTATAATAATCAGTATACAGTGGAACTTCTATAACTTCTACTACGCGGGGTTGTGAGAAGTTAGGGAGATTATCCCCATTTTTACATTAGAGATAGAGTATTAAAAAGAAATAGCATGTATTGCACATAGAGTGAGAATGCAGATGCTAACGCAACATGACCTATTTTAACACTGAAAATGTTTATGCATGACGTCGTGTACATATGTGGAAGGGGAATGAAAAAGTTACAGAATACTATAGTTAGGAAAATTTCATTGTATATTGATGGAGAATATGTTGAGGGATGAACGCGTATGAATAATAAATGAAACTTTAAAGTCACTTATAATTAGTTACGACTGTAACTAACAGAACTGTATCTTTCACAACATATTCATATGTTATTACTTTAAAACAATTACAAATTAAAATAATATGAATGGTTTTGAGCTCTAAAAATATAAATGACATTATATTAGGAGTACAAATAAGTTTCCGCCGTTTGCAAAAGACGGCGCTACTAATAAACTTATAGTTAAAATTATTTGATGTAAAACGACATATCGTAAGATTGGACATCTGGCAATACCATAACCTTGAAATATTAGCGATTTTGTATCATCATATATTTTTTTTTGTACGAAAATGTCGAGTTTTGAGTCGAATAAGCGTCATTTGCAGGAACTTTTGATTTACTTCTTTAATTTGAAGAAATCTGCAGCTGAGGCTCATAGATTGCTTGTAGAAGCATATGGTGATGCTGCCTTAAGTGAGAGAAGTTGTCGTGAGTGGTTTTAAAAGTTTAAGAACGAATTTGATATCGAAGACAAAGAACGTAGCGGAAGACCAAAAGTGTACGAAGACGCGGAATTGGAAGCATTATTGGATGAAGATTCGTGCCAAACGCAAAAAGAACTTGCACTTACATTAGGAATGACTCAACAAATAATTTCATATCGTTTGAAATCATTGGGAATGATTCAAAAGCAAGGGAATTGGGTTCCATACGAATTGAAACCGAGAAACGTTGAACGCCGATTTTTCACATGTGAAATGCTGCTTGCCAGGCATAAAGAGTTTTTGCATCGTATAATCACTGGTGATGAAAAATGGATCCAATACGATAACCTAAAGAAGAGGAAATCATGGGGACCACCTTCAACCATGCTTCAACATCGATAGCCAAGCCGAATATTCATGGAAAAAAAACTCATGTTGTGTATTTGGTGGGATCAGCTTGGTGTCGTGTATTATGAGTTGCTCAAACCGAACGAGATCATTACTGGGGCTCTCTACCGAACATAATTGATGAGATTGAGCACTCAAGGAAAAACGCGCCCACTCCAGGCATGACAAAATTATTCTCCTGCATGATAATGCTCGACATGTTGCGGCGCCGGTCAAAACCTACTTAGAAATACTCAAATGGGAAGTTCTATTCCATCCGCCGTATTCTTCAGACATTGCTCTTTCCGACTATCACTTGTTCCGATCGATGACGCATGGCCTGTGTGAGCAGCACTTCACATCATATGAAGATACCAAAAATTGTATCGATGATTGGATAGCCTCAAAAGATGAAGCATTCTTCTGACGAGGTATCCACATGCTACCAGAAAGATGGGAAAAAGTAGTGGCTAGCGATGGCCATTACTTTGAATAAAACATTATGTACCTTTCACAATAAATGCTTAATTTTTGATAAAAAAACGGCGGAAATTTATTTGTACTCCCAATAATAATCCCAATAAGATTCGATATTTGATGTATTCGTGTGTATAAGTAAAACTATTAATTAATGGCGAATTCGGAAGAACTAGTATGCACTGATGCATATTAAAGCTGTTGTACACTGATTTAATTTGAGTATAAAAATGAAATATTTAATAAGTATAGAAGTGCAAATATTTCGAATTATAAAATACATATTTTACCTAATAGTACAATAAAATGTATCGAGTACTTCAGGATTTAATCGATTTCTATGTTTATGTATAAACATATCTTTACGTTATTTTGTATACGATGGCTTTAATGTGCACTAGTGCGTACTGAGTGCGCCCAATCGAATTCGCTATAAATAAGGACAGAAATGTAGAAGTTTCGATTCTTTTCGAACATCTTTTTCAATAATTTTCAATTTTCAATACATAATTATTATAATAGTTATATAGCTATACAGGGTCGAATAATATGTAAAAGCGGATACGATGTGATTCCTTATGAAAAAGTAAAAAAATATATAGAATAAAATTTTTCGATTTTCTGCTTAGTTTTCCAGAAAATCGAATTTGCAAACATATGCTGTTACGGCTAAGCTAAGGTTCGTCAGACGCGTATAGTGTTCCTAAACAATGCTCTACGATCTATGATGTCAAACCATGATGAAAGGGATAACATGATGTGTGTAATTGGACAGTGTCTCTCTCTAAATCTCTGTCCTCTCTGTCTATGTACTGTTCATAAGGTCAAGGGCTACAAAAACTTCTGAAACGCGAAACATGAAATGGTATGCATTTTGTAAATGATTTTCAGTTTGTTTTTATTTTAAAATTGTCTTAAATATAATGTCGTAAGTCAATCCAAAAACTGTTTTAACATCTTAAGACATTATATTTAAGACAGTTTTAAAATAAAAACGGGCTATAAGTACCATCTACATTTAGCGTTTCACAGTTGTAGCCCTTGAATTTTATGAACAATCCATGGACAGAGAGAGCAGAAATTAATATTCGGCAGACCGCACTAGTGCGCACTGAATGTGAACTTTTTCAGTGCTACACATTCGGCTTGTGCACACTGTTTCAATGCGTTAAGATTGTCATATTCGGCAAATGAAAACTGAGCCGTATAGTGCTGAATTTATATTCGAATCAACCGAATGAACCGAACGAGTTCAAGAAATATTGCACTAACATTTGGCATAGCACTAAAGGTTCTGCACTTTAGCACCATGTCAGGGCAGCATACAGTAGCGCAACTCTCCTGATTTTATGTGTATATCTCTAAAATGAAGTGTGTATGCGCAAAATAAGTTGCCTAGTAACGCCACCTAAACTTCTGTCTCACTTCTTTCTTTTTCCATTCTCTCTTTCAGGGCCATTTAAATGTTCGAGCTGAAATACGGATCAGAGAAAGAGATAGAAGAAAATAAAATTATGATTAGTTTAGTTTAATTAGTTTAATTTAGTTTATTGCGAAGCTTTATGAGAAAGACTATATGTTAACATATAGTCTAAGACTATATGTTAACAGAGTAATAGACATAAAATATGATACAATAGACTATAGACATAACATAAAATAAAATACAATACAATAATCATTAATAGCTTGCAAATGGTTAGATATCAGCAAAATTGCTGTTACAAAGCCCACCAGCAACAAAAGTGGAAATAAAACAACAATGCAATGAGAGGTGAACCATTAACTGAAATCATACACACACATTTACATTCACGCACATACACACACACACACACACACACACACACACACACACAGGCATATCTACAAACACACCAATTTCGTCAATCTTGCTTAAATATTGAGTGATACGTATAATTGCTGGATTCTAACTAGAAATCTGCGTTTTATGTGGTGCAATTCTAATAATTTACTAAAATGCAAACGATTTAGCAAGAAAACAAGCATCGTATACTACAGTCGTTAATTAAAATATTTTTACAGTATAATATTTGTATCATACAACGTTTATATAATTTTATATTTTCTTATTTTTGTATATTTTTTATTTTGCAATGCATTACAATTATAAATCTATTTCTTTTAGTTTTATTTAGATTATATATATATACTTTGATGTACAAACCTATAGAGACCTAGAGAGAGAGAGAGAGAGAGAGAGAGAGAGAGCTGAAAAAAAGAGCAACTGAGAAAGAAATTCAGATGGCGCTACTAGGAACTTACTTATTTCGCGCGTGCGCACTCCATTTTAGGAAAAACTAACAAAGATGCCGACAGAGAGTTGCTACTATGCGTTCGGGGAGACACTATTCACGCTATGACGCAAACGCTATCAATGTTGTTCTTGAAGCCAGTTGCGCGATAACGTTGGCAAGCTCCATGAATGATCCTAGCGTAGCTAGGTAATCAGAGAGATATATTCGTTGAGGTTAAGTTAATGTAGGAGATTCTGTTTTCAATCACTAATCAAATTTTTTCCTATAAATTTTTAAGGTTTAAAAAAGTATTTGTAACGTAAATTTTTTATTTTCTCGTAGTGAATAACAGAATGCAATCTCAATTGCAATCTCTATGATAGCTTGCCGAAGTGAACAATGTAGAAACTAAATCAAAAAATTAATAGTTACACTAAATAAATTAATCAGAT